CTTGCCACCCAGCACTCAATTATGCAACGCAGCGATCCGGCTCGAGCCAGATCCAACCCTCGACCCTCAGATTATGCTATTCCGGCCGAATCGACTCTAAACAATGACAATGCACAAGTTGGCCAATATCCTCATACATACGTAACCAAGTTATCGCACTGATACGTAGTGATAGTGATAGCGCGACGACAGGCCTTGGCCGCCCCATGAAGCTCTTGGAACGTGCCACGAAGGATTGCTATTTGGGTGCCGTGGGGGAGGGGCGTCTCTAGAACATTTCACCTTATCGTGCGAATTGCGCGCCCTGACGTAATACCGCAACGGCTTGCCAAGTCGACGGTCGTTGGTTGTGCGAACATTAATTGGATGTGATTGGAAAACGTGTTGGAGCGTACTATCATCAGCTGGCGATCATCATTCATCATCATCATCATTAGTTCCAATGGAAACGGGGCAGCGGACCTCGATTTCCTTGTAATTCGATGCGAATTGACATCGTCGCTTCAGGGAAGCACTTAATTCTGTTCCTCTGTCAATTGGGTACTCGAGTGGTTGGGCATTACCACCGAGGACCACTGATGATATAATGTTTGTTGTGTTTCGAACAAGCTGGCCCGACGAAAGTGCATTTAGGAGAACGCAGCGACGACTCATTGCACCGGCCACGTTGCAGCTGCGTCGAATTCAAGTGATGTGTTAACAAAAACATTACAATACTTGTAGTGCCCGACTGATAAGACTGTGCCCGTTGGTTGGCATTCGGTTTGGAGCGCGTTATTGACCGATTAAATACAGCTTTTAATACATTTGAATCGCACCACCAAGCGTGCTGTTAGGTGCAACAGGAGACTTTTAACGTACGAAAGGAGCGCACATCCAGTGCTGTTAAGTGCACAGGGAGCGCTGTTAGCAACAGTGACCGATTTCAAGAGCACAGAGCTTGCAGATATTATATGGAAGTGCTGACAAGAATTCAATATGGAAAGACCACCCCGCACATCTATTTTGTTAACAATTCCCGTCAATAAGCAGTGATGTTAACAGTCAGTCCAGCTAATGTCCAGAAAATGGGCTGTAAGGCGCAGCCAGAGCAAGTTTCGCATTAAAAGGCCCGTTATTTGTTTGGTTTTCCGTTGAATTTTAAATATTTTCGTTTATTGGTTTTCCTTTTTGTAAGTACTGTACTTATCGCTTTGTAATGTGACATCTTAAGTACAACAATTAGCTGCTATTATGTATATATATATATATAATATATGTATATATGTATTTGTATAAACGAATAAAATTAAATTTGTTCTTATTTCCGTTCGTTTATAAATGTATGCAAGTGTCAATGCGTGTTGTTGTGTGTTTTATTTACGGACTACGGGAACAAGACAAGTTCTCTTTGTATGCCTCTGTGTATCATGTGTGTGTGTCGTCGTTTATTCAGTATTTGTATGGTGTATTACGGTATTATTTATTTAAATATTTATTTATTTAAAAAAAAAATTCCGCTCGGGCTTAATAGTTATAATTTATATATATATATCTATATATATATAGGTATATAGTGTATATACGGTTGTATAGTTAATATAATTTGCATTTTTGTTGAATATATTCCCGTTTTGTTGTTTGTTGCTTTTTTCGTTCGTTATTTAAACTGTAATTTGTTCCACTAAATTTTTTCTATTTATGAATTTATGTATATTGCTTATTTCAGTAGGCCATTTAGGAGTTTTTTTTTACTTACTTTTGCTCGAATTAATATTCTGCACTGTCGACTTATAGTTGCTTGTTTCTCCTTGTTGGTATTTGGTTTTGGTTTTTTGGTTTTTTGTTTTCATTTTTGTTTAAGTTATTTAAAAATCTTTCATAGGGCAGTTCACGTTTCAGATACAATCCTCGCCATCCCATCCCATTAACAGTTAACATCTTCATTACTCAAAAAAAAATTCTCTCCTCTATGCTGTCTCTGTTACTGGTTACTGTTTACTGGTAGCTACCACACACTATCTCTCTATGTATATATATATATCTATGTATATATATTTATTGAATTGTATATCATTTGTCGGTGTTTTCGAGATGCTATAGATGACCGCTAGAACGCTACAAGATGGGACTTGGGACAGGTTGGGGAACAGAGCAGAGATGGTCGAGATTGAAACCACAAAATAATAATACCGAAAAGTTTCATAGGTTAAAGCGCCATTAAATCTTTCTAACTTTCTAAACCCCTTCATCTTCTCCTCCACCGCTTGGATTCCCAATTGACGACGAAGAAGAATTTTGGACTATCTGGATTTCTACATACATATATCCGAGTATACCATGCACTAATCTCACTGATCTCCGCTTTCTTGAGGTTCGCCTTTTTTTTTGCCTTTTTTTATGTATATGCTTATATAAAAAACGTTTTCCCTTACACTAAAAAAAAAAATTGTATTGCATATTTCTGGTATTTGGTTTCATGATTTTTCTTCTGTCTTTTTTAGTTATAAAAAGATTTCTTGTTGTTTGTTATCTTCTAGACTTCTAGACATTTATTTTGACATAAAAAAATGTATGCTATTTGCCTTGTTCATTGGTTTCTCTAAATATTCATTGAACAACATTTAAAATGTATTTGCGATTAGGTTGCTGTGAGGTTTTCATGTTCTACAACTTTCTTTATTAAAAATACCAAAAAAAAACACACACATGTCTCCCTAATTGCGCTTTCCTAGGCTCCTTCCTTGCTCTGATTCTCTGTTTCAACATTGTATCTCGGTGTTTTCCAACAAAATTAGCTTGGCTGCTTATGAGTAAAGAAAAAAATTGTCTAAAAGATGACGCCCGACAAAAAAAAGCACTACACTGACACAAAAAAGTATATTGATGATTTCCGTTTTGTCACATGCCCAAAAAAACGTCACAAAAAATACTTACTCATACTAAAAAAAAAAAATGGAGGATGAAAACCCACATGAATATTGAATTTGGTTTTCTTACGCGAGACGATCGCCATATGCTTGTTCCTCCGAGTAATCCAATATCCGTTATTCGTATATGTGTAAATCCACTTACAGGCTAAGGCTACAATTGGTTGAGAGTATTTTTGTTCGATTTAAATGGTATCCACGCCCCCATCCGGAGGCAAACGACCGGTCGGGAGCTTTAGCATATGTCTCATACGTACATAATCGTACACATATGTAAGTATTGATTTAATAAACATTTCGTTCGCTTCTGTGTATATTTTTGCATTTGCTTATTCGGGGTTCCTATTACCGGTATATTCGGGCATTTTTTCTGTTTTTCTGTTTACTGTTTAGAATCGTAACATTTTAGTGTTCAGCACAACCAAGCTGTAAGTTTAATCGAGTTTTTACTGTGTTTCGATTCGCCTTTCAATTACTTTCTCTTAAAGCTAGTTTATTTTTTATATTTTGAAAAAAATTGTTTTTTACGTGTACTAATTCGTTGACGTTTTCTCCCATCCAAACAAACTCTGGGGACGGGCAGAACTAAGAAATAATAACGTTAATAAACTAAAAGAAAACTCAGTGTGAATGTTTCTGATGGTGAAAATGTTTATTAGATAATTTTTCTTGCTTATTTGTTGGTAATTGTTGTATTTCGAATCCTGATGTGGGACCGTGTAATACAACTAGAAAATAAATGGTATTTCAAAAAATTAAAATTTCGTGTCGACAAATTAAAAGTTTTCACATTCATGAACTACTAATGCATACAAATATTGAAAGGTTTGAACGGAAAATATATGTATAATCGAATATTCTGAAGTTGTATAGTTATACATGTTTCTGGGTTTTCTGTTTTTCTGTTTTTCCATTAATTTATGCACCTACACCGAAAAAAATTATGAATTCTGTCTCTGCTTTCCGGGGGAGAGAATGTCTGGCCAAAAAAAGATCATAATAAAATAAAACGAAAATCCAAAAAAAACTTACAACTAAATACGGAAAATAAAAACACAAAACAATGCGGGATGGGTTAATAATTTTATGCCTAGACCAGGTTCCTCACCTCCACCCCACAGGCGCTTAAGATTTTGAGTGTTTTTCTTTTTATTTGCTTTTCCATTTCTTCTCTCTGTATTTCTGTCTCTTCTGATTTTCCTTTTCGTCGGACTCTTTATCACGTGGTTTCATTCATTCTTTTGCTTTCCTTCTTACAATGCTTGTTTTTCGTTATCGCTGCCACATGCTCAAGCTTTTTCATAAAATAAACTAAAAAAAAAAAGTGGATTTCACATCGATTATTATTATGTTATTAAAAAAAAAGAAGCGTTTCTTCTCTATAGCTATGAAAAAAATTGGTATTTTGTAATTTCGTGCGGGGTTTCCCACTCAAAGTTCACCTCAAGCCTATCTCTAGCTAAGTATTTCTCTTGTATTTTTTGTTTTCGTTTATTCTTAAACAGCCTGAAAACTTGAGCATGCGCAGCCGCCTTGCCAGTCCATTATGGTTACGGTATATATTGAATAGACAAAAAAATTTGATTATAAATTATGAAAAAAAAACAATATTTATAAGATAATCATATAGTATCTGGATTAACTTCAGCTATAAACATACACGAAATTCGTGTACATTGTTGCGGCATTGTTTGCGCCAAAAAAATCAGTTTCAGTTTCAGACACGGAGAAAAAAAATAGAGCTTATGTCCTCACGCCTACAAGTATGCTATATAGTATTAGATATATAAGTTTATGTGTGTTTTTGTATATATGTATATATATATAATCTTGTATATATTCCTTTTGATATATATATATCATTATTATAAATATGTGACAAAAAAATGTGTGTTTTCGTAGTTATTTCTCTAGGTGTACGCAAAAAAAATGATCGTTCCTTCCGATCTAGACCTCTCGATCTCTATACATATATATATATATATATATAGGTTATATATATATATATATATATTTATTTATCTTTTTATATATATTTATACGTGTCTTGTCTTACAGCTAGTTACAAAAAAGAAAAAAAAGATTCTTCCCAAAAAAAAGCACAAAAAGAAAAAAAAACGTACTACAACATAAAAGTTCGAATGAGGAACATACACAAAATAAAGGTATCGGGGTTTGAGAACATAAAAATTTGGGTTTCGTATCTATATATCTATATATCTATATATATATATAAATGGATAAATGGTTTCGATGGATACTGGTACTACGATGATCCATATTAGGTTCTAGATTATATATGCTTATCATTTGTTTTATATATTATCTGTACGCCAGAGGAAGCCAACATTTGATGTGTGATTGGCTGTGGTTGTCTCTGTCGTGTCGGTTGTTGCACCTTCACTTGTTACTGCTGATGTTGCGTGGAAGCTGTTGCTGATGTGCAGTTGCTGCAGCTTGAGTGTTTGCTTCTGCAGCTCCTGTTCAGTGGTTGGTATATTGAAGCTGAACTCGTGCTGTGGGGAACGACTACTATGGCTGCCATTGCTCTGATTGTTGTGACTGCTGTTGTTGTTGTTGTGTGGCAGGTCATTGCTTTTGTTGCTGCAGCTATTGTTGGGGCCTGCGCGGCTATTGTTCTGATTGTTGGTGTAGCTACTGGTGTGGCGCGCTAGACCACTGCTACTGCTACTATTGTTGGTAAAGTTGCTGAGTGACAGACTATTCCCACTGTGGTTGGTGAAGCTGTTGTTGAGTGCCAGACCCGTCCTATTGTTGTTGTTGTAAGTGTTGTTGAGTGGCAGGCCACTGTTACTGTTGTTGGTGTAACTGTTTGTGTTGTTGAGGGCTAGGTTATTCCCACTAATGTTTCTGTAACTATTGTTGAGTGCCAGACCACTGCCACTGTTGTTGGTGTAAGTGTTGTTGAGTGCCAGGCCACTATTACTGCTGTTGGTGTAATTGTTAGTCAGTGGCAGGCCACTACTACCGTTATTGGTGTAACTGCTGTGGAGCATCTCATTACTGCCGCTGTTGTAGCTGTTGGTATGGTTGTTGGTGTGACCATTGTTGAGACTGCTACTACTGGAGGGTTGTTGATTCTTTTGCTGTTGTTGTTGACGGGATGAGTGTCCATTCAGCTGTTGCTGTTGCTGTGGCTGATACGGTGGTGGTGATAGTAGTGGTTGTTGTGATTGCGGTTGCTGCAACTGCAGTTGTTGTTGAAGATAATTGAGAGCAGCGACTCCGTTCTGTCGTATTACATCCAAATGATTGTTGGTATTGTTGTTGTTGGAGTTATTGTTATTAGATTGGTTGAAGTTGTTGTTGTTGTTGTTGTTTCCTCCATTCGGGCTCAAACTGTGAGCAGCAGCATTATTGCCCAGGCGTTGTAGTTCTTGTTGTTGCTGATGATAGTGCTGATGGTAGAGTAGCATGTGGTTAATGTTGGTGTTACTGTTGCTATTGCCAATCGCCTGCAGCTGATGTTGTTGTAGTTGCTGCTGCTGATGGGGTGTCAATTATAAGTAGGGATAATGGTACTTCCTACGGTACAGTCCGTCAAGCAAATCGGCAAAGTTGTCACCTATAGTGATTCAATCACGATTCGGGAGACAAATAAAAGTTAGAAGACAAAAAAAACATGCATTAGTATGATTCATTAGCATTGATGTAGAGAGTTCTTAAATCATGCGTCTATTTGAAAAAGTTGATTGAAAAAACATATTTGCATTTCTAGAAACTTCAATTCGTATCAATTCTATCGTTACTTCCGCTCCTCATTTCTGATCTGTGTTCTTTTCTAGACCTTCCCTGAGTGCCCTGACTTAACTACCTTATGGATGAAGATCATTAGATTTAGTAAGTTATACATATATAAAGAGAGAAAGAGAGAGAGGGAGAGAGAGCGCTTTGTTTGCCTTTTTCTCTCGTGTTTAAGGAGGTGTTGGGTTAGTGTTTATTGTTATATTTTGTATTTGTTTGGTTTGTTGCTTTCGGTTAACTTTAGAGATTTTTGTAGTTTTGATTAAGCTGAAGTTTGATTGTTATCTTTTCGATTGCGGTGTCAGTAATATAATTAGTTTTCATTATATTCCATTTCCATTTTCGATGCGTTTGTCTTTCGTCAACACGATTAAAATGTTTTCATAGGTTTTTCATTAACGTGCCATGTTTTTTGTTTTTGTTTTTCTTTTCAATTGGATGAGGGGATGGGGATGGGATCGGGCTTGGATTAGTACTTGGAACTGGGTTTCGGGTTTCATGTATGTACATATATGGGGTATATGGATGACTGACGCTATGATGGTCGTTCTGTTCTATATAAATGTGTAGACATACATGTGTGATATGTGACTGGTAGATGTGGCATATATAGAGCGTACACCCATACACATTATCCAAGTGCGGCCAAAGAACATAGCAAGCAAAACAAGTTGATACGATATACAGTTGATATAACACATATAGGGGTAGTTGTAGTTGTGGTTTCGATTTAGTTTACTTTTAGTTTGGAGAGAGAACTGAACATTTACAAACTGGGGGACTCGGATGAATGATTCGTTATTAGAGCAGACAAGGCAGACCATGAAGTGGGGCGACTAGGGCGATGTTTAAAACAAAAAAGTCTAGGCAACCCTTTGGACTGGGGTCTGTGGTCTATGGTCTATGGTCTGTGGTTTCTAAGAGAACTCTGTATGGGCTGTGAAGTTGTTGTGAAGGGGGAAGCGCAAGCAAACTAGGTTTTCGTTAGCAGAATTATTATTTTGAGGGCCAGCAGCGGCGGCGTAGCAGATTTCCATTCTGGTTTAATTTGTTTATAGTTTTTGTTTTATGTGATTGAATTTGATTTGGGTTTCGAATTGGTTCATCTAGAAGTACAATTTTTGGCAACTTTTCAATTGGAACTTTTTCAAATAACGCTCTACGCCGTTGGCACTTGCTCAACAGCACTCTGGAGCTGGAGCTGGAACTGGAGCATGGGCCAAAGGCGACAAATTTTGGGTTAAAATTAAATCGATATATATATATTTTTTTTTGTAGTTTTTTTTTTTTTTTTTTTTTTTTGAGAGAGTGAGATACGAGAGATATATAGAGATAATTATAGTAGCTTGATGATGGCATGAGAGAAAGTAACAAAGAAAAAACATGGCACGCTTTGAAAAAAATCGCTTCTCTTTTTCTTGGAGTTTTTTTTTTAGTTTTTTTTTACATATATGTAGATATTTTTTAATATGCATGAGAAACTTGAAAACTGAAATGGAATTTCGATTTCTTCTGTCTTCTCAATCATGTGGGAGAGTATGGGTGTGTGTGGCTGTGTGTGTTTCCATGTGTGTGTCTGTATTCTCTTGTTGGATAACTACTTATATAGATTAGACTTTGGAGTAGATCTCATTCTTATGTGCTCTCAAAAAAAAAAAAAAAAAAAAAACAAAAAAAAATATATATTTATAATTATTTGCTTTTGCCTTTCAGTGAAGCAAGTAATCTATGATAGATTATGATTAGGAATAGTATTAGAAATATATATATAAATATATAAAAAAGGAATAATTACTATCGAGACCAAAGATAGCATCGCATATAGCATCGAATAATGAGCGTAATTTTTCCATAGCTCCGTCTATAATAAAAAATAAGAACGAAACGGAAAAAAAAATGTTACAACTTGGATTAGTTGCGTCGTAGATTGGGATATTTTTTTTTTTTTTTTTTTTTTTGTGGGGCGGGGCTAGGGAAGAAGATAATTTTGGTTTTTTTTTTTTTTTATAAATATTATTCAATTATGTGGATTTTTTTTTTTCGTTTTTTTTTCTGTCAACAACAATCAATGAAAATGAGTTAAATGGACCACCGTTCCCGTGGCCAGGGGCTCGGGGAAGGACGATCGGTTCGGGTTAGTGCTGTGAGTAGATCGATTAAAGTGGAGTAGAGTATCTACGGCAGGGAAACAACAAATGCGGTTATAGTAGGGCAAAGAAATACATTGGGGGGCGTTCTAACTACGGATTTAGCTTGGAAACGGCAACGGGTTCAACTTGTATGCGAACGGCCCCAAGTTGGGGCAAACTAAAGCAAATTCAAAATGAAGCAATTCCCTAAACTGTCTTCGGTCGAGGGTATCCTCTGTCCGAAGCCCTCGATGCCCTTGCAGTTGTCTGATTGGATCATCTTTTTTTTTTTTGGTGTGGACTGCTTCTGCTCCCTGCAAGGATATCGATTCTGGGTTCAAAGGGACTATTCTGCTTTTGGATGCTCAAGTGGCTTCTTGCCAAAAAAAATAAATAATATTAAAAAAACGCTGCATACTTTCTGGCGGGCCCACAGTGCTCGCACGACATTCAAAATGACAAATAGTTGAGTTCCCAGGGATACTGTGGCGCCTACTCATGGTCAGTTTTACAGTTTTCCTTGGCCGAAAGTTTCTATGACGTTATACAAATAAATAACAGTCTTTGATGGCTGATATCATCTGCTAAAAAAAAAACTTGAACTGAATTTTGGATTGCAATCTTTAAAGGCTTGACTTTGAATTACTCGATTGTTCGGTAGCGGTACAGTCATGCACAGTGGGGGCTCTTCAGAAAGTAGGCAACGCATTCATCTCAAGCCAAACTAAAAGTCTGAAACGTAACCCAACTCTTTCTTAAACTACCAACTAAAGATATGCAAAATGTACTAAAATATATGCCAAAATATTCAAATATTAAAATTGTATACATGTATTGAAATTCATTATTATTATTTTTTTTTTTTAAACAACAACAACAAAAAAGCGGAAAGACAAGTTAATTTATAAGAGAAAAACAAACAAAAAAATCAGTAAGCAGCAAGAAATCTACAAAAAAAAAAAAAATTTGCAAAAGGGTTCTGCATATTTCTTATATATTTATGGGGGAAAATACAGCAGTAAATCCTTGGATCCACACCGAACACTGACAGGCACGATACAAAAAAAAAATACACCGAAAAAAAACCTTTAGTTTTAATATTAGTAGTCAAAGACGTCTTGAACACTAGCAATATACAGAAAAAAAATACAAAAAAAAGTTAGCTCGGCACACTTTCACTTGAAAAAAACAACAAAAAAATTGTAATGGTTCATCTCGTCATGGGCATAGGAAAGTACACTGGCAAAAAAAAAGTTTGAAAGAAGTTCCGTCTTTTTTTTGTAGTTTGTAGTCTTTTTTTTTTGCTGGCACTGGAACCGACAAAAGGTTAAAAAGTGTGTGGGCAGAGAGACAGCATTTGAATGTCTTCGTTTTATTTTTTTTTTATTAGATTCCTTTCGAAAAAAAATATAAATGAAGTTTTCACATTAAAAAAAGACAAAAAAAAAACCATGTCTTTGCGATAGGGTCTGTTTGATGGAGGAATGGGGGTGGGGTTTCGGGGTGGTGTTTCGGGGGTGTTGTGCACCCCCTTATCGCTTCGGTTGAGTGCGCGCATACTTACCATGCGCCACGCCTTCCTCACTTCTTTCTACTCAATTTCACAGTCTCTCTGCCTCTGTCTGTCTCTTGCGTGCCCTCGCTTTCGCATTGTCTCTTTCGCAGCGCCTGGCTGCTGTGCCTGGGAACAACTGTAAACAGAAATCTGCACTCGCGCCGCGCTCCCGTTCCATCTCATTCTGTGATCGGGCAAGGAACCCGAACCCGAACCCGATCCCGACCCTCTCTCTCTCACACACACACACACACAAAAACCACAAGCACACGCACATGCACGGGGCACGGGGCAAGGCAGATTACTAGATCAAAATGAAAGGAAAACAAAAAAAAAACACAACAAATAGTGGAGAAACAACAAAAAAAAAATTATGTAGGGGGAGAAAAAACTTCCCGTTGTGCCATCGGGCGCCGCTTTCCAACACTGTTCTCTCTCTCGTGTGATTTCTCGAGATTTGCTTGAACTTGAAAAAAATTTGTAAAAAAAAATGTCGGTTTTGTTTTGGTTTTTTCTTACGATTGTTTTGCGTTTCGCCTTTTTATTTTTTTTTTTTGCTTTCTCTGGTCACACTTTCGGCTTTTGTTTTTTTTTCTTTAGCTTTTGTTTTGTTCTTTTTTGTTGCTTTTAACGCACTACATACTAAATAATTATTAAAATTTAACGCTATTTATATAGAATAGATTTCATATAATCAAGGATATATGTATATTATGTAAATCTATAAAGGTATTCATTTTTGTCCAGTTTTGTTTTGCTCTTTTTTTTATGGTAAAACTTGATGGACGAGTGACCAACATAAAAATAAAAAAAAAAACTATTGATGCCTTGTTGTTTCTGTTGACATATATTTGGTTGTTGGTTCTCGACATTGTTGTTGCTTTTGTTGTTGTTGTTGATGTTGTCGTAGTTGGGGCTGATTTTCATGAGAAATTATAACCAAAAAAATAAATACATGATTCGATACGATCTGTAGAGGTTCAAGAAGGGAAAGGTTGTTAAGAGGGAGAAGAATTGATGTTCGATCGAACAAGACGACGTTTTGTATATTTACTCCTTTTGTTTTTAAGTTTTTCGTAATTTTTTCTTTGCATTTTAAGATCAGTTCTGGTTGCTTCTGATTCCGTAATCCGTAATCAATTTGTTAGCACAGTCTTTTTGTGAACAGCAAAAAAATATTCCAAAAAAAATTGCACACTTTTCGCTTGATTTCGGATTTTTGTCGCCTTTATAGAAATATATATATTTCTCATTTATTTGTTAAGTTTATGCGTGTTTTCTTTTTGTTTTTTATTACTGGTTTTTGTTGGGTTTTTTTATTGTTTTTTGTAGATTAGGTTACGATTCAGTCCTTGGATGATTTGCCTGCGTTTATGCACATTTAATTATAGTTTCGATTTTTGCGTTGATATTTATGTTATCTCGTTAAAAAAATATACAGTACATATATATCTAAATTGCTACATGTCTTGTGTGTGTCTGTCTGCTGGCTGTGTTCCTACTCTTCCTATTCACGTACAAATCTTCTAGGAAACGAAAGTATTTCCGATTTAGAGGCTTGGAACAAAAAAAAAATACACTTGGAACTAGTTCGCGAACCGCCGGAGCTAGTTCAGAAGATATGTCTTGACTGTGTGTATGTGTGTGTGTGCGTGTAGGCGGTAGGGGGGTTGGTCAAATCTTAAAACAAAAAACTTTCAATTCTTCCGACATGAGTTAGTATTTAAATTTGGGTATTTTTTTTGTTGGGGGTTTTTTTTTTTGTTTTTTATAAAAACTAAAAATGTTATTCTCATTTAAGTTGTTGTATGTGTGTGTGTTTGTGTGTGTTTTTAATTAAACTAAATGAAATTTACAATTCAATCTTTGTTTATCTATAAATCTATACATATATATAGATATACATAGATATATATATATGTATATATATAATATATAGAAGTGGGGGTAAGGTAATTGAATCTTTTACGTAGATACGACGAAAATGATTACAAAGTTAAAAACAAATTTAAGCTAGGGATTTTTTTGTTGTTTTGTTTTGTTAAGGTTAGTGTTAAATGTGTTTGTTGTTGCTGCAGCTGTACTTTTTTGTTGTTGTTGTTGTTTGTCAAAATACAAAAAAAAAGGGGATAGGTGAAAGAAATCGGGAAATATATATATATATATATTTTTTAATATATATATGGATCGTTCTCAGAGTGTGTTTTTTGTGTGGCGTTTTTATTTCGCTTGTGGGGGGATTGGTGGTTGTGGTTGTGTTGATGGTTCCTTCTTTGCTTTTTTTTTAGATAAACTTTTGCGCATCGAAATAGGGATGCGTTTTTTGGAAGCGTTGCTGTGACTTTATTAATCTACCTCTGTGAACCATGTTGTTGAAGCCGGCCGCCATATGCGGCGGTGGTGGTGGCGGCGGTGGTGGTGCATTCGGCGCTGGCACGCCCATCTGTGACATGAAGTGCGCCGCCTTCGCCTTGCCATGCTCCTCGGCCAGACGCACTGACAGCGGCTGGGACCCGCCCTCGGGTATGACATTGTTCAGTGCCGAGATGGCCTCCTGTGCCTCCTCCCGCTTGTTATAGCTATATGATGATGATACATGGATCGGATCGTAGCGGATCGGTTCGGTTCGGTTCGATATGGGGGGAGCATGAACATGCGCGTGGCAAAAGTGTGTGGAAAAAGAAAACATAAGAAAGGGAAAAGAGAAAGAGAACAACAATGAGAACGCTTTCGAAAACAAAAACCAACAGAATGTGTTTAGGATATATGCTATTATGATGCTCGTATCGTCTCAGACCGATGTGGTAGATGGGGCTATGTAGAGCCTTGTGGAGCGTAAAAAAAAAACGTCCAACTGGACGAGAACTTACCGCACAAATGCCACGCCCCTCGGCCGACCGGTCAGCTTGTCACGCAAGATATTCTTCTGCACAATGGAACCGTATTTGCCAAAGATCGTGTCCAGCTGATCATCGGTAATTGTGCGCGGCAGATTGGTCACATACAGATTGGTATCCTTGATGGATTCACCGCCAGGACGAGCATAAGAAACCTAGAACAGAGCGGTTATTAGCGGATCACGAGAGGTACAGGTACTGTACTCACCTTTAGCCGCTTGTTGCGCACCGTAATTCCATTCAGAACTTTGATGGCTCGCTGTGAATCCATTTCCGACGTGAAGTCCACGAAAGCATAACCAAAACTGTACCCAGTCTGTTGTGGTAAAGAAGATCGAGACTTGAAATCGTTGAATAGATGGCTGGATCTAGAAATCACTCACCTTATAGTCTCTCATGATTCTGCACGTGTTGATGGGTCCAATGGCTCTGAATAGGGCGTACAGCTCGCGATCAGTCATGTCCTGGGGCAAGTAGTTCACAATCAGATTGGTGTTGCTGGATCGCTGATCGTGCATCATCATGTGATCATCGCTGCCGCCGCTGCCCAGCGACAGTCCGCATAGATTGCTAAGCGAATTGTTGCTGGTCATTGGCAGCAGGTTGCACATGTTGCCGCCAAGATTATTGGCACTGCCGCCATTGGCGCCGATGCCAATGCCACCGCCGCCGGGAAACTCATTGTAACCGCGACGGGACGAGGAACTTGGAAATGAGAATTCTGTATCCTGTGGTGAGAACGCATAACGTGACTGGAATCAGATTAACCATACAAAGATATTCTAATGTTGAGAGAAGGCCTCATATCGCTGTCTTGGGGTTGTGTTTGGTTTGATTGATCGTTTGATTAATTGATTGGATGGTTGATTGGGTTGGCTCTGCTTTATTTCTTCCGATATTTGTTGTTGTACGCAGCACCACCAGCAACAACAAAAACAACAACACCACACACAACTCTGATCGGTTTGATGGTTGGTTGGTCGGTTGATTCGATGTTCAGGTGGTTTGAGCAGAAAGCAGGAGCAAGAACGTGAACGTACAACAAAGTGGCAACTACGACAAAAAAAACTAACGGTAACAAATGCCATTTTTGTTTCATTTTTTTGGTTTTTTAAGGCGTGCTTGAAATTCGAGTGCTGCAAATATCGTTATCAAAGGTATTTATTGCTCTGGAAGAAGCATTCTAGACATTCGCTTGCTTCACTGCACTTCCGTTTGTCTGTGTTTGTGTTGGCGTGTGCGTGTGTGTAACGGCATTCACAGGGTTGCAAAAACAAAAAATACTAATATTTGTATCTGCTTTTTAAGCTTAGAAATGTTTTTTGTGTGTGTTTTTTTTTCTTTGAGCTTTCCACAAAGGCCGTTTCAGGGAAGTTTCAGTGCGTTTGAAGGGTATAAAACCAAAGCGAAATCTTAGAAATGCCACGCACTGTACTCGGAAGTCGCAAGGAATCTGCGGCGGAAACGGAAACGAATGTGGGACAACGGACCGGAACGGATCGGGTGGCAAGGCTCTTTTTCCCTTGACTCATGCAAGTTTTTGTGTCTGTGTTACTGTATTTTAGGTTTCTTTTGTCTTAAGTTTTTGTTTATTTAAAAAATAGTTGTTTGTGTTGTTGTAGTTGCTTGTTGTTCTTTTTTTTTTTTTAGTTTATTTCTGTTTCTGTTGTTTATTGTTTGTTGTTGTTTAAAAATGCAAACTTTAATTCGTTTAAAAAATTTATAGCATCCATAAAAAAAATTGAATTTATATTTATTGTAGTTTTTTTTTTTTTTTTTGATAGTATTTGATTCTTGCTTGAAAATTCGTAATCAAAAGCGTGTGTCCCCAGAGCGTTCATGAGACAAACTCAATAACATACAACTATGGATAGTAATATAGATGGATAGATAGGGCATAAAATTTATATTATTATTGATGAGTATCGAAAACGGTGCAGAACGGAACAGAACAGGGACAGACAGGGCACAGGCATTGAGCAGAAGAGCAGGAAAGTACAGAACCAAATACAGAAAAGTATTTTATTCTATCATCCTCTTGCCCGTCTTGTCTCTTCTTCTGTGGCCTGTTGCCGCGGTTCATCGTTCGTTCCGCTGATTGCTCACATGCGATGGAAATCGAAATTGAAATCGAATTGTTGCACTAATAATAATCATAAATTTCAGGCGGAAAATTCTGTGATACTAACCATTCCAGATGGCAATGAATGCGACATGCCAAATCCACGCCCACCGCTGCACGATTCGACGATGAGGGATAGAGAAAATACATATTAGCACGGGGTATTGGTGGTGTTTTGGTGGTGGTTAGGATTGTGGTTAAATATAGTTTAAAATTATCAAAATTATATGTATAAAGCGCAATTTACTTTCTGTTTTTTTTCTTTTTTTTTTCTATTTTTCTAATACTGGTAATTATCTTACAAAAATGGTTGAGAAATGATTGCTTCGGTATGGGGTGATCTGAAGTTGCATTTACCAGACTAACTTACGGCTTACGGGCTAACTTATGGGCTAGCTTAGGGGAAAACAACAACAACAATTGCGGGCAAGTACAGTCGCCAGGAGGCGTCAGGAGGCTTAGAGAGCTGCCAGCTCCAGCTGCCAACCGACTTGACAGCATTTGCTGCTGCTGTTGGACATCGACTTAAGGACTAGGCGGAGAAACTCCTTGAGAAGGCTTTGGAAAAGAGATTTTTCAAAGAGATAGGCAAACTTTCCCCCGACTAAAACTTGCCAGATCCCGCACACGGCAGGATCCTGACAAGTTCTGCGAGTCTTTCTGGGAAATTCGCAAGAACTCTTTGCCAATGAATAAGCAATAATAAAAAAAATACAGACTAATCATTAATTTTCACTCTAAAAAAATAGGCACTTAAAAAAAATACTTTATGTATTATAGGTAGGTGTTTTTCATGCACTTTCGATTCACCGAAAAAAAAAGGAAAAAATATGTATTCAATCGATCCATTCCCAACAAAAATCGGACACAATTTCGTGGAACACTTTTTCACTTAAAAAAAAGATTGCAAAAAAAAAAATCATTTCGTCACTTGTGGCACTTGAAAAAAAATTGGAAAAAAATGTGTGATGTAGAAATGTGATGGGTTCTCGGACTGACCCTCTCCAACGGCGACGACATTCGGTTGATTTGGCTGGTTTTCAGTGTTTGCAACTGTTCGGTGTGTGTGTGGTGTGTGGTTTTAATGTCTAAGTTAGGGCTTATACCCGGATTCTCCCTCAATTTCAATGGTATTTTTTTTGTTTTGATTATTTTTGTAAAGTTTTCTTAGATTCTTGTTACTTACAGGCGTTCGATGCGTCCCCGTTTCAAGAACATTTTTGTCTCAGCCGACCCCCGCAATGCGATCAATCAGGCCCTCATCGGGCGACAACAAAAAATGCCTACTACATGCATGGGTGGTGCATAGGTGTATCTATCTAAGAGTATCGTGTGTCTTTTCGCTTCCGCCGGAATCGAAAGCGGTTCCGCGTTGCATTTCGCTAGGGGGGCAAGCTGTTACTCCTGCTACTCCATGGCTGTGGAAAGAGATGTCTACACAAAATTAAATTCAGCTGCAGGACATCGGCGATGGCGGTGGTGGTTACGTAATTGCTGGATGGAGGGATTTTAGTGGGGATTGTACGAGGTTGGGGTTTCATATGTGTTCTTTGTCTTGAGGTTGTAGATTGTACAGGTTTTTATTATTCTTTCGTTCGTTCTTTCTTTCTTTCAAGGTGATTACAATACTCTTAGTCAACTAAAAACAAAATAATAATACCAAAAAAAAAATAAAACGTGTCACAGAAAAAAATATGTAAAAAAAATAGTTTGCCAAACATTTTTGTCGACTGGCAAGGGCTCCACGGCTGGCAGCAGCTCTTCTTCTGCTGCTGCTGCTGCTGCTGCAGCTGTTGGGGATTGTTGATTGTTGATTGTTGACACTGTTGATTGATGTTCTGCTGCTGCTTTTGTTGTTGTATTTGTTACTGCTGCTGCTGATGATGATGACCTTGAGCACTTGCTCTTTGGGGCTGCACTATAACTCTCCCACTGCTGCTTCTGCCCCCCAAAAACGGCCACAGGAGGCAGAGTACGAGAGAGTGTGGTGGTGCGTAATTTTTGAGACAGAGATAGATAGAGGGGTTGGGTGGTAGGGAAAATTTGTCAGGTATGCACTGGGATATATGTATGCGGGGAGGGAGGGAGGTTGGGTCACCCTCCTGTGTGTGTACTGCAATAACCACAACAACAACCGGCGCTTACAACTAGTTTAAGCGGTAAATGGAGGGGGGTCCCTCGATTGGTGGGCGAGTAAAAGGGACGACTATACAGAATACATAACTTAAGGCTATTGCAGCAGCTGCGCAGCGACCGCCACTGTGTGTGTGTTGTGTGTGTGTGTGCCTGTGTGCGTGTCAAGGTCCTGACACAAATTCAGCAGAGCACGTGGTGGGAAAAAAGGGGGTTTCGGTGTCCGTTATTCTGAATAATGTGCCGTTAAATGAAATGGGACAAAGGCACAAGATGCAGCCCCAGCAGCAGCATCATTCGACTTTGGCGAGTCATAAAAATGTCCAACTGTGAAGCCACCATGCATCTGTGTGTGTGTGTGTGTGTGTGTGTGTGTGTGTCAAAAGTTCAATGGCTGCTGCTGCTGTGGGACGCTGGCCTCTTTTGTATTTTGAGGGCAAGATGCTATCATCCTTCATAAAACATGGCATAACTGCAAGGGACTGCCGGTCAAAACTTAATGCCTAACCTTAAGGCTTACATTCTAGGGAAGATTTGTATTTCGAATGCGGAAATGCTCAATGGGTGGTCAATGAGGAATGCGGCGAGGTGAGGCGAGGCGAGGCGAGAGAAACAAAAACAAAACGCAAGAAAACTCAAACGCAACTTTTAAAACCATAAATTACAGTTGCAAGCAATAATAGTAGGGTGTGGATAGAGAGAGAGAGGGGGGAGAGAGAGAAAGAGAGACAACATTTACCGGTACATTGTGAGGCTGTTTGGGTAGCACAGGCCGCACGACGAAGAGAACGTTTTTAGGCCGTTTCTATAATCCTCTTGCCACGAACAAATTATACCAACACATATACATCGATGGTATATGTCGGTGTCGGTGTCGGTGTCGGTGTATCATATATTTACATATATATGTGTATGTGGGCGGGTAACGGCACTCGATGGCCGTTCCCCCAGCGGCGAGAGTTTATGTGTGTGTGTGTGTGTGTGTGCGAGCGAGAGCAGACGCGTATCAAAGACTCTTTTGAGTGCCAGACATGGCAGCGCTCTCCTCGCTCTCCAACATTAAATGCAGTTTGGATCTCTTTCTTCCTTCTAACGGTAATTCAATATATACACATATATATATATATGTGGTAGATATATATGTAGAGATAATGTGTATATGTATGTGGAAGATTGCTTTTTCGTTGCCTTTCGTTTGATTTTTTTTTCTTGAATTTCCTTTTATTACATTTTTACTTTTGTATTTGTATTCGTATTGCTTTTTATATATCACATTTAACTGTTAAATACAGCTCTTGGGTAGGAGAAGGGGCGCTGCGGAAGACGCTGCAAGGAAACAACAAACAAAAACAAAAAAAAAACAAAAAAAGACAGGCGTCATCGCGTGTCGCGCCGTTCACATTACATTCTCGTTCACGTTGCGATGCGTTGCATTACGTTACGTTATAGAAAACACGCAGAGCAGACGATCAGCTGATTGTGTGCGAATAAGCGCGCGCATGAATGTATGCAATGGAGATGGCAATGGCGATGGCGATGGCGATGGCGATGGCAAAACCCAAAACGTAACTTCTACAACGCGAGTGAGTGGGTGGATGGGTGGTTTGGTGGTGAGAGAAAGATAGAGAGCGAATATCTAATGAGGACAAACGGAAAAACAAAAAAACAAAGCAAAAACCAAGGAGCGGATCACCACTTAAGGCGGAGGCCTCTCGACTCCTGCACACAAGTCCTCTTTCTATTTTCGTGTTGGCGGCACAGATTGAGGTTCGTCTTTTGTTGTGTGTTGGAAGGACTGTTGGGTGTGTATGTGGGGGGGGGGTTGGTTGTGGCTGGCTTAATTAATTGATTTACTCATTATTTTCGGTACGATCCAGTAATACTTATAGACTGCGGCTGCTTCTGGTTGTTGATGGTTGTTGCTGTTGTTGTGGTTATTGTTCTCCTTTTCTAATGTTGTTTCATTATTGCCCTGCTTCGCTCCGATCTAATCAAAGCAAAGCGCGTTTATAGAAACAAAAAGAGAACAAATACAAAAAAAAAAAAAAAAAAAAAAACCAAAGACTGGTGTGGGGGGGGGGGGGGAGAATGTGAAGGCGTGGGGGGAGTTGTGCTTGGCGCCCAAGGTATATTCAAACAAGGCAAGACATTCCCCTAGAGCTGCCTGTCGGTCGCTGGGATATGCCTCACCCCATCTAAGCACACCTTGCGCTTCCCTTGCACACACAGACATACCAATGCATACCGTTAGATTTGTTTCCCCATCAAGATTCAAGCCTACACAAAAAAAAACAGGGGTAATTGCCCCAACAATAGCTCGAATTTGTACTCGTAAAACTATTAAAAAAAAAGACTGGAGACTGGAGAGTTGGGCAGAAAAAAATATGGGAAGAAAAAAATTGTGGGGTGGATTTTTGGGTCCAGAGCTGGGTAGAAAAAAACATCGTTAATACTTTGTCCTCATGTTTCGTTCGTGGGTCGTGTACTTATGTGGGTGGCTGTGTACGTGTTTAGCTCGTTCGTTCGTGTGTGTGTGTGTGTGTCCGATGGTGGAATGGGATAAAAGGATTGGGATGGGACTAGGAGCGGGGGATATCATGTTTGTTTTTTTTTTTTAGATTTTTTTGAATGATGTTCAAGTAAGGTAAAATCAAAAACAAAATGAAACGCATAAAAACTAAAGTTGTACAAAATTTACCTCGACTTGTTGTAACCGTATGGGGGATAACCACCGTTATTATTGTTACTACCCGGATTATTGTTGCCGTACATATCCTGAGTGTGTTTGGGGCACGAGTATTTTTTCAACAAAATACTCCGCGTGCTCTTTCTCTTGGTATATATAATTATATATATATATATATATATAGACGTTTATCGATATCTGTTTTATCGATCTAGCAAAAAAAAAATATACCGTTCACTTGCTGCTGTGATGGTTTGTGTGCGTGTGTTCGGGGGGTTGGCGTAGGACGGGGTGGTGGTGGGGGTCAAGCTGTCGAGAGATGCAGAGAGAGCTGCTTGTTTCCTGCCTCTGGCGCTCAGCGCTCTCAGCTGGCCTGCTGCTGATAGGTGCCGTTAAGTTGCTTGTCGTTCGGTCGTCAATCTCACTCTCTCTCTGTCTCCCTCTGCTACTTGATATCTTTGCGACGAACGGACCACCCCACACACATTCAAAATGAGAGCGGAGACTCTCTTCGATAGTTGTCAATTGCGGTAGTTGTTGTTCGTCTGGTGCGGCTGCAGTTGTTGTTGTCTTCTTCTGGCGTACGCTCTCTCTCAGACGATACTCATAGTTCTTTCGTTAAGTTCTTCTAACGGTACTTGTCGCTCGCTCCCTTCTTTTCTGTAATTGTTCTCGTCGTTGTTGTTCTTATTGTGGGAGCGCACTGTCTTGTTGTAGGTAGAGATGATGATGATGTTGTTGTTGTTGTTACTAAATGATTGTAGTAGAGTTTTGATTCGATTTTTGTAATTAGTTTACTGACGATTGCCAATAAATGAGAGGGAGTGGGCGGTAGGGGGATTCGATTTTCAGGGAGTTGCTGGTTTCCAAAAATAAAACACATGACAAAGACGTGAAGTGTGTGCGCGCGATTTGTAGAACATCAAAAGTATAATATGAATAAATAAAAAAAATATGTTAAATGTACATATCTGCTAATAATATAACAAGTGCCGTATAGTGTTCGCGTGTGTGTGTATGTGTGCTCGTTTGTATTATTTAAACATAGAAACAAAAGGTGTACCTCTTAGCCTAACAAATAATCTGCCCCTCAAATAATAATAATAATGGAGAACGGAATTGCGCTTTTATACAATAATTTTAAACATTTCAATTGCCACTCGACTTGTGCTCCATTCATACCTGGTGGACATCTTGAAGTCATAGTAGGACGACCATGTGGTCGACAGGGAGGGGGTCACAGTATCGAAATTAAAATCCATCATTGGGACTATCACACTTTTTACTCGAATGTAGAACACACGAAATCACAAAATCAGGACACAAGTTGGACTTGTCACGAGTGGAACTCGACTGAAGAGCTCGACGCAGGACATGGACTATTTAAGGATCGCCGCGAAGTTGGGCAGTGGGTGGGATCGGGCCGGACAGGTAGGTGGGTGGGTGGTGGCAGGGCAAGGCACGGACAAGGTGCGCGTGCCAGACGCGTGGGCGGCTACCTGCCACCCAACCGACTAGGAAGCGTGCCAGGCGTACTTTCTTGGGTGGCCGGCTGCAAACATTTAGGGGCCAGATCCAGATCCAGATCCTGGCAGGCAGGCAGATGTTTTCCTACTTGTTCTCGGAAGCTGGCCGGCGATGCTCGCCGTTAGCAAGGTGCTAACTTGGGTCGAGCCAAGGTGGGTGGAAAACATCGAAAGGTGGAAAAGGAACTTGGGCGGCAAGCTGCAAATTGTTTACTTGGAAGCAAGCTGCAATTTTTCAACAGATCACCCGTTCCATTGCTGCCAAGGAACCTCCCAAGGTGCAGGGGATTCTTTCTAATGAGTATTGTCGAAATCAAAAATTCCATAGATCACAAATCATAAATCGGAGAAAAACATTTATTTGCTGCCATGAAATCCCATACCTGCTACAAATTTATTAAGTTCAATCAATTGTATATTTAATGCATGTGCAAAATAAACATTCATCTAATCTATCAATAATCTATCGCCCGATCCATAAACCATTAAAGTGCAATGCAGCTGCCTCTGCCTCATCGGACACATAGGGCAGGTGATAGTGCAAAAACTGAAGGAACCTCCTCCTCCGTCATATAAAAATTGCAAGCTGCAAAAATTCTCCCAAAAAAATACCAAGAACCAAGACCAAGGAAAATTTTCCTAGCGATTTTCACTAGAAACATTTAAGTCCAGTCAAGGTGCTACCGAGGGAGGGCCACAAGAGGGAGCTATTTAAATTTAAATTAAAGAAAAATAATACAAATATATCAAGTTAATCCGTAATCCATGAATCGGTTTATATAAGTTTTCTGGTGCATTTAAATTTGTTCTCTATTAATTCGATTTATATATGTATATATTTTTTTAAATATGTATGTGCCAAAAAACAGTGACAGTGAAATAAGCACAGTTCTATATAATTCTGTTCCCATATTAATTCCCAAATTTACTGAAAGTTTAATAATTTCATCATTCGAAATTACAAATAATTTTTTTCTTTTATAAGAAAAGATGATTCCTGATAAAAGTTACACAAAGGCCCTCTAACATGTTGGAATATCTAAAGAAAATACCAGAAAATTGGACGAAAGATTTTTTAAATTGTACTCCCCGGGAGTTTCATGACGCACAGTTGCGGTCAAAATAATAGTAGTGCCACTATGGGCTTTATGCTACAGAACGTATTGAAAATATTTAAATATTCTACAGTTTTGTCAAGATTTTTGGCGATAAATAATATTTGAGGCTTTTTTCGAGGGGAATCGGCAATCAGCAAGTTATTCGCCAAAATATCGTAGTAGATCGACTACCAGGACAAGCGGAGTAGGTGCGAACCTTCCTAAAAAAAATTGTTTAATTTGCAAATTAGTATTGAAACCATTAGAAGTCTTAGGGGTTCTAATTTAATGGCACAACAGTCAGGAAAAAAAATGTTTACGCCCAAAAGAACATGGCGGAAATACGTAAATGGACCATTGGAAAAGTAAAGGAATATTTTCAAAAATATCCAAATATTTGTTTTTTGTCCGTAGATCATTAATTGAATTTTCCCTAAAATATACTTGCAAAACTGTAAAATACGGCGGATCTTTAATAATGATTTGGGTGCTTTTGGGTTGTGGAGGGGCCAGAAGGACAACGATCCCAAGGACACCCACAAAGCAACCAAAAAGCCAATGGATTGGCCGAATCGGTCAACCGAAGGGAGAATTAATTGTGCAATGTAAAATCCACTTTGGGACGCTGTAAAAAGGTCATGGAGCTCGCTCGATTTGCTGCATATGTACAGTGGTGCTCATACACTTAAGCCACAAGAACTACACCAAGAATTTAAGCGAATATCAAGAAAAGTTGTTATTTTACAGCTCCCATTTTTTGTCTCAAATTAGTTCTATATGTCAGTGTTTTAATACAACAACAACCAAGTTATGAAAATATATAGTCAGCGAAATAATTAAAAAATCTGAAATTATCTCCAAAATATCCTGCTCATATACTTAAGCCACCTCAAAAAAAATGATTAAAAAAGTTAAAATTTGCTCAGTATTCCTAGTATTTTTAATAAAACTACTTTAATATTTTGTAGGATGACCTTTCTGCTTAAGAAAAGTGGAGCAACGCCTTGGTATTGAGTCTACAGGACGTGCCCACTGTTGAGGGGTGATTTTCCTTCATTCTTCCTGTAAAATTCGGCACAAATACTTTTAATTGCTGTTTTTTTTTGGGCAATGACTTGGTTTAGAATTCCCCACAAGTTCTTTATAGGGTTCTGGTCGGAACTCTCCGGAGACCATTACAAAACATTGATTCCCTCTTGGTTAAGCCACGACTTGACTATCCTGCAGCAATGTGTCGGGTCGTTGTCCTGTTAAAATATCCAGGCAAGTGGCAAATTATCGGCATGTTCTCCGGATAAATTATTACTCAGAATGTCCCTCTACATTTCGGCGTTCATAATACCTTGAATCTTCACCAGGAGACCTAAACACTCTAAGAAAATTTCGTTTAACTGTAATCTCTTATGAAAAAATGCACTGCAATTATTTTAAACGGGTCATTTATTTCAGCATTTTAAAAATTGAGAGGAATCATCTGAGAATTGTTATCTATCATTACAATCGGTAATCAGCAGAGTTACTTGTTACTGAGGAAAAATGAAAGCTTGTGTGGGTATTGCTATTGTTTTGACCGCAGCTGTGTATACTTCATTCTTCCACCACAAATCTAATATACGAGTACTGCGAGTACTAGGCTTAAAAAAGGTACAGATTTCAATTTATTTGACAAATTAAACTTTTTCTTTTAGCAAAATCTGTTTTGCAATCAATTAATAATCGGATGGGGGAGGCCCCACAGGAGCCACAACGGTGCTGCTCTTCCAGCGGATTACCAAAGCGAGTAGCGAAAAGAGAGCGGGCGAGCGAGCAAGCGAGCGAGAGAACCGCGCTTAATGCTTGAAACGAGGCCAGCAGCACAGCCTTTGAAGGGAGCACGGGTCGCGCGCTAGAGTGGTGTGGGGGAGGGGGCCGAAATCGCTCTTGCTTGGACAGCAACACAGGGGAGGCAGGGAGGAAGGCTGGCAGGGAGTGAGGGGTTGGTGGCTGTGGCTCTCTGGCCTGTACATTAACAGAACAAAGTTTGCCAAAAAAGAAAAAAAAAAAGAAAAACAACAACAAAAATATACACGCACACAAACGAAGGGAATGGTTGTATGCGTACATATCTACATATGTATTTCCAGTGTATTTCCAGTGCGAATATACAGCAAACGAAGATGAAGAAAATGAGGAAATGGCAAAAGAAAAGCGTCACACTCCGTCTCCATCAAAAGAAAACGGGCCGCGTCGTTGCCAAGGTGCAAAAGATGCAGAGAAACACAAAACAGAATGGAGACAAAATTACGGCTTAGAGAGAGCCAGAGAAGCAAAAAGTGAAAAGTTCTCACAGATCGATCCTTCTCCTTCTCCATTCACTTGGACGTTTAAGGAAAACAAACTAAAAATAGTAGATCTTGCTTGAAAATACTTTAGTAACAAGTCAGAATCGTAGAAACACATACTTAAAAAAAACCCCGAATAATGCCACAAGTTTCATTACTGAGCGAAAGTTCCTAAAGTGAGTAATCATCCGAGTTGGTAGTGGAATATAAATATGCATGACGGCATCTTATAGATACTCAGTTGATTTTGAAAAACATTTGAAGAACGATCTTTAAATGAGAGCTGCATGCATGACATAGTGATCCAATCGGGAGGGCAAACCTTGCAAACCTCTGATCAAAGTCTGAATACCCTTTGCAAGGGTATATAAACTATATATATAAATGTAAAATGAATACCAGGAACAAAAACACCACCGAGTATTGGCTGTCCAGTAGCGTACAGTGAAACCGGCACCGGCACCGGCACCGGTTGGACGAGACCCATTTGCAGGTTAAAACGGTGTAACGGCTGGGGGTAGGGCGATGGTGGGGGACTGCAATGGAATGGAATGGCGCTCCAAACGATCATTGCCCGCTGGAAAGGGGAATGGCCGTGCGAGAGGCTGGCAATGTATAAAAAACAGTAGAAAGAGAGCAGAGCTCAGCCAAGCATCAGCAGCGGCAGCTGCTCCTCCCCAGCCGCTCTCCCCGCCAGCTGCAACGAGCAGCAACGAACGGCAGCTGGAGAGTTTTGAGCCAGAGAGACAGAGGGAGGGAGGGAGAGCGAGAGAGAGAGAGAGAGCAAATCCAGCAAGAGAGTCGACTTGCCTGGGCTTTACCTGCGCTTAGGGGAATCCTTTCGCTCTCAGATATTTTGCACCTTTTCTTCAATGGAAAGTGGATCATAAAATTTGCAATCCTTAAGCCAAATCTTCAGGCGCGTGTCGCCCTTCCTCACCGGTCACGGGTCTCGCTAATGATGATCGGATCGATCGGCACGCGTTTTTTGACTTTGCATAAATTGATCGCTGGATTTATTTGCACCTCCGCTCGCACACACTCTCTGTCTCTGTCTCTCTCTGATTTAAATTTCTTGTTATTGGTTGTTTTTAGTATGCATTGCATGCGGTGGACAAGACATGCACGTCAAAGGGAAATTATTCCATATCTTATCCACGCAGATACTCCACCATATGTACACATGTACATGTAGAAGAGGCCCAAAGCGAAAACGAAACGACAGACAGACAAACCACAACACGTTGCTTAAGCGATAACAGCTGGCAATGCCGACACCACAGTCGTGTACCGCATCAATGTGACAGCCGATTGCCGTAAACACGGCGACAGTCGCGACCATCGATTTCACTCATTATGGTAGAAATATATGCTTGTGTTTGTGCATTAAATAACTATTTAATTTCACAATTTATTCACAGCTAAATACCGTGGAATAGTGAGGAAACTTTGAAATAGACATGCATATTTGCAGCTATAAAGTATTGACGCACTTTATCTGGTAAGCATATATAGAGTTTGTTTAAATGCAAACCCCAAACCCCTTCTTCAAAAGAAAGTCTCATGTTTTATATGAGTACAACATACTACATATATGGGTTCACAAACCGGAAATTGGTAGGCAAGATATGCAGACACATTGGCTAGGTAGTCAGTCGGATGTGCAACGGAACCAAAATGTGTAAAATGCACCCCAAAGGGATAGCGATAGCAAGGGACGACATTTCTCAGGTACACGGCAGCCACTCTCGGGCCAGAGGCGACTGTATGCATATGGTGTTGCAAAAGTGTGCATTCTCCTGGTAGTTTTCCGTATACATACGCTACAGTTGAGGGTAAAAATCTATGCTCGAATATTCTTAACGAGACAAATAAACAAAATAAATAAATACACTCGAACGCACACACAATATTTACACTAGGTGTACAAGTTTTTATCGAGCTTACTGTTACTCTTACTGCTTACCGCTTTCTGATTTATTATTATGTATTTATGTATCTTCCGCCAAGTAGCTATGTACTACTAGCAACGGTAAACGAAATGAAGACAGCATTTTTTGCGTGTATACAACAAAAATGTAAGAAAAACCAAGCGCATGAATTGAGAAAAACGTTGGCAAGTCATGTAAACTAAAACGGCAGAGGGGAGAGAGGCGCGTGGGTTCAAAACAGACAGCCTCGCACACACACGCACGTAGGCACTCTTGAACACATACACACACACGCACACTCATGCTGGTTACTCACACGCATTCGTCATCGAAGCCGCACACACACGTAAGGAAACAAAAAAAAAAAAAAGAAGAAAAGAAACAGCGGCGAGTAGCGAACGAGGACGTTTGTGTGAATGCCATTGAGTGTATGCGTGGTTGTGTATGTGCGACGACGTTGCCATTTTTGCTGCTGTTGTTGCCTTTGCTGTGTTGTATTGCTGGGAAAATCAAGTAACGCCTCTACCAAGGCTGAATGGAATTTTACAACATGGCATAATGTTCTGGCCAAGCAGTGTGTATCTAGAAGCCGCATGCCCAGAGCCACAAGAGTACAGGCTTCACTCGGCAACATCAACGGACACACCATGAAAAGGCACACTTGCACATATTTTTTTGTGTTATTAATTTTACCATTTTGTTCAATGACAAAAACACAGACTACAGCAAAAGTTTGGAGTAAAAAAACAACAAAAAATAAAACAAATACAGCGAGTAACCGCGCACACACCGCCTACCCTTCTCTGCCACTCGCTGACTCTTTTTCATAGTAAAGACAGACACGCACACACACGCATGCTGGCTGCCTGTCGTATGCATGACTGCGAGTGTGTTTGTATGAAAGATTCAACCAACAAAAAATATATAACAAAAAAAAAAGACAACTTGAAGCTTGAGCTAGAAAGAATGCATAAATATACTACAACTACGCATGTATTTGAAAATGGTGCACAAGAAGACGATTTTCTGCGCATTATTTGTTTCGCATATTTCACAGTGTCTCTGCGTGTTTTCCATTATCATAATTTTCTCTTTTCGTTTCGTTTTTTCTGCTCCTCTTCAGCTGCTTTTCGTCATTATATACACTTCACGTCACGCTAAAAACCATTGCAGGGCCCTATATATACATGTGTTTTTGTGTCTGTTGTATGCGAGTGTTTGTCTGTATTGTTTTTGGGGTTTTTATTTCGCTGTCGGCACACTTAACGTCTTTGTCTTGTTTTATTCAACTTTATTTGCGTTTGCACACATTTTGATTTCAATTAATATTGAAAATATTTATCTCTTTGGTTTTTATTCCTTCAATTTGGTAGAAAAACAGGAGTATTAAAAGGTGGAGCAAAAAAATTACCAGAAAAAAATGCACTGCGCGGCGCTACAACTTCCTTTCACAAAAATTCAGCCGCAACTATATGACTGTATGTGTGCGTTTCGTTCATGAGGGACGAGTGAACGAACTTAACCCAATTGAACCCCTCTATTTAAACATTTAAACAGCTTCAGATTAACCGCAGAGGGGAATACTGTTTGTTCATTTTTCTTGTCGATCCATCCTTCCTCTTTCCCGAAAAACAAAATTTCCACGATATTTTTCACTTGAACTGCGCTAAAAGTCGTCCAATTTCATAATATCGTGGAGTGAATTTTCAATACGCCATTGGGTACAATGGGTTAATCGTCTCTGTAATTGATCGAAAATCATATTTCTAGATTTTGATATTCAGTTTAATATTACTTGCTAGGTAAGACCCTCAGGCTTGAAGGCATATTTTTATATGATTGATTAATCAATTTTCTACATGACTGTCTAATTTTAAATACTCCTTCGTATTTGATTTGTCTAAAATAAGGTTTAAGCAAAAATGTTCAGGAAAAAAAGCATAAAACGCAAGTGCGTATGGAAAATGTGGACGAAGGAAAATCCCATCTCGATTTTTAATATTAAGAATAAAAAAGTAAGAGGCCATTTACATATGCATTTCTCAGTCCACATTAAAACAAAAACAAAAAAAAACGAAAAATTATTTTCCTTCATCGTTTATCGTTCACCGACGACTTGATCAGGGATCAGTGCTGGATTTCGTACGATAGTTCTGCTGAACGCACATGATTATGATGCATAAGTTCATGATCAGATTTGGGAAACAAAGAAAGAATAATAAAAAATCTTGAGTTCAGTTTTATACTTCGATTTTCGCGAAGAATTATCCCAATCAAACGAGACCGTTTTTTGGTACGAGGCGCGAAGCCTTGAAGCCAATATCGATAGGCTATGAGTCGCTTCATTTTACGGCGGCGCGGTAGTTAGGAATGTACCATAGGCGTTCACCAGCACTCAAACATGATAGATGAGACCTGATAATTGATGCATTATACATTGTTCTGGTGAACGCGCCCTTTGATATTAAAAAGACTTCCGAAACATTGCTGTTTTATCGATGTTTTTCACTGAAAACACCAATCAAAGTTTGTCCAGCTCTATTGCTTGTTCATTTTATCTGGTTCTTTGGCTCTCTTCGTTTATTCGTTTGGTTCACTCTATCAATGGACTTCCGTTCATTCATATCTTATCCTCGTATACAACCTATATTTTTGTGCTCGATTCCAAGTCATTTCATCATTTTCAATATACGCAAAATGAACAATGAAAATCAATTTTGCTGGCATTTCAATAATTGGTTGGTTTAGTTTTTCAAAATACTCTATTATTTATATTACAACTGGAACGAGCGGTGAACTAGTTCTTTTGTACATGAAAATGAAAATATCGATTGCAGACTATTTTAAAGAATTTTTAAACTTTTTCAAAGTTTAGATACAACTTTATTATATCACTTTAGGAGTATATGGACGGAGGCACATTCTTCCCAAAGTTATCCCTCAAAGTAGTTGTCCAGACCAAAATACAAAACGACTGATAAAATGAAAGTTTACCGAAAGTTTATTATATATATTTATATGTATTTGCAATGCAGTTTAAAAATGTATCACAGTTGTTTAGTTATTCAATATAAACAAGCTTTATCCAGATATTTATCGACCAACAAAATACATTGGCGGGTTGTTTTGTAGTTCTTCGTAATTGATTACTTATTTTCGTTTTAAATTGATTGGTATTTATTTGTAGATACACGTCTAATATACAATTTGTTACATCTAAGCGTACAATATTTAAGTTATCTGACTTAAAAAGTCGTATAAAAATCATGCATTCCTGTTGCTTTCTTTTTCCAGCTTGGCGGATTGCTTGTAATTACAATTTATCAGTACTTAAGTGTAAGGGGTAGCCTTATAGCTAGCAAAAAAAGTAATAATAATAAACGTGTTAAATAATGTAAATTATTTACCGATGATTTAGGAATTAGAGAATACATTTACATAGCAGTCAAAGCCCATAAATTGCTGTTCTTCTTTGTAGGATTTTAAAGATTTTTCTTTTTCTTGTTTTGTTTGTGTGGGAGGGGGTAGGCAAACCCCCATTCATACTTTGTTTGTCTTTTGTGTGTTCTTTTTTTGGGTCAGGGAAAAATCCCTAGTGGCCCTCAATGGTCAGTTTATGAGTCGGGGCGAATCACATGCGGAAGGGGGAGGGTGGGGGCCGAGGGCCAAGGCAGGGACGCGGGCTGGGTCCATCATTTGGTATTGAAAAAGTCTTGTTGTTGAATCCATTCTTGAGTTCGATTTAAATGTTGTTGCGATGGCGGTTGTTCCCACCGCGATTGTTTCGATTATTGTGGCCGCCACCAGAAAAGCGTCCTCCTCCCCCTCCACCATTGTTATGGTTGTTATTAAAGTTCTTGTTGTTGTTATTATTAAAGGGCATGCCATTGTTAAACGGCATGCCACCCATAACCATGTTGTTGAGGTTGTTGTTCATTTGATTGATATTTCCCATGCCACCGCCTCCGTTTCCGTTTCCATTTCCATTTCCGTTTCCACCTCCGCCTCCACCCCCACCACCATTGTTACCCGCGAATGGATTGAACGGATTGTTGCCGTTGTTGTTATTCATGTTGTTGTTGCCATTGCCCATGAGGCCGCCGAGTTGCCCGGCAATGGCATTGCCAACATTATTACCCATTACACCGCCCCCCATCATGCCACCCATGCCCACATTGGGGCGTGGCGGTGGCTGATTGAACTGCTGCGGCATGCCCATCTGTTGCATCATCATACCATTGGAGATTCGTCCCGCGAGTAGATTTGGCGGCGGTTGCCGCAGCAACTGTGCTAGATTTGGCGGGGGCTGCGATAGATTAGGCAGCACGACTCCAACTCCAACGCCGACTCCAGCGGGTCCCATAGCCATGTTCATGTTCTGGACTGGCTGATCTTCGGTCAGCTGAACCACCTGTCCATTATCATCGATATATATGCCCAGCTTGGCAAAGATCTGCTGCAGAGTCTGGTTGTTCACAATGAAAGAGACATCGAAGGTCTTGCAGCCACCGTCCGGCTGCTGATGGTACTTCTTCAGTTCGGTAAAGACCAGGGCCAGCTGCTGGTTGACCATTATCTTGTTGTTGCTCCCAAGATCCTTGTACCAGTTGGAGTTCTGCAATATGCTGCGTATCTCGGAGATCTGTGTGGTCCCACCAGTGGCATTGGTGGTGGCAGTGGCTGTGGCCGTGGCCGCGGCTACGGATGTGCTCGCGGTAGAAGGGCTCGCTGATTGGGCCTGCAAATGGGAACGGCGCGGATCACGTCGTGGATCTACGCGTACGGCTGTAGCTGCTACTGGGCCACCGCCAGCAGGCTTGTTGGCAGCTAGCAGCAGGTTTGGTGGCGGCAAGCTCATCGATGGCGGTGGCACACTCATCGATGGCAGACCCACACCGAAGCTTGGCGGTGGCGGCGATGTGGGTGTGGCATCGCGTCCCATTGGTGATCTGGGCCCGGATTCGGGCGATGAGAGATAACTGTTGGAACGATTCAATGACGATTCACCATACTGGGACTCCTCGGTCGCATACAAATGGTCCGGCAGTCCAAGAATGCGACGCATGCGCGGATCGCGCACCTCCTTGTCCTCCTTGTGGGCGGCACTTAGACGTAGCTGGGAAAAGTTTGGCTCCTCCACCTCCACTTCGTTCACCTCCCAACGCATGGGCATGTGCGAGAAGATGGCCGCATCTATCTCGGTGGCTGGACGGTAGTGCCGTATCGGCTCAAACGGCAGACGCATATCAATGTCCCGCTGCTGGATCGCACTGGACTTGGCCTTCAGGCGGTTGGCCGCCTCGCGTTTCTCCTCCTTGACCTTATCGTAGTCATATAGGGAGGGGCGCTCGTATTGTGAGGGCGTGGACTCTGGCTCTGGCTCCGACTTTACGAGCGATGGCAGCTTCATTCCCATTGCCATTGCCATGGGCATCGTTATGGGCATATCCAGGGGCTGTTTGGGCGACTGTGATCCCGGCTCAGGTGTGGGTGTGGGCGTCAGGGATCTGGAATTCGAATTTGAGTTCTCATTGGCCGAGTCCACGTCGCCGTCACCACTGTGTGCCTTGAACGGATTGCGTATGATGTCGCGATAGAAGGCCGCCCGGGTCACTGGATCGGGTGGCTTGTCCCCAAACAGTAGGCGACTGAACAGACTGTTTGCATCGTTTGCACTCTCTGGTTCTTCCTTTACAGCTGCAGCAGCAGCTTCCGCTCCAGTCGATTCGTTTGAGGCTTCTGTGGGGGAGATGGCACTCTGTGCGGTTGTGGATTGCTGCAGGGTCTCTGGGGATAGCCGGACTGGCTTTGCACCGGTCATGTTGCTCATAAATGTTGGCAAATCAAAGACGGACGGCATTGGGGCCTCGTCTTCCTTTGGTGATGATGTCGTCTCTTCTTCTTCTTCGTTGCCATCATCAATCACCAGTTGCTCTTCATCGTCGCGATCATCGTCGACTAAAAGGAGAGGAAGGTACATTGACAGAAGGAATAGAGATAACGACAGAGATAGAGATAGAGGAGAAGCGGGATTCTTACGCGGATCGTTGCTGGTAAAGCTCACATGGGCATCCTTTAGATACTGAGTGTAGTCGACCATAATGAAACCATTATTACTGTTGGAGTTGCTGCTGACCTCCACAACGGCGGCGGGATTACTGCTGTCGGGTTTAAATGGAAATGGAAATAGAAATCAGTTACTCGCAAGTAATTTGCTTAAATGGACTCACCTGCCGGATGCTGTACCCTCTGGCTCTGACTTGTTCTCTGCCTTTTCCTTGGCCTCCAATGCCTTGCGCTGTATATCCCCAATCTCGAGCAGCGTCAGTCCCACCTCCGTCAGCTGGCCAAAGGGCACTTCGAGCATCTGCTCTAGATTACTAATGCCCAGCTTTTTCAGCTTTGCCATATGGTCGGCGGGTAGCAGATCCTTGAGATTCTCCAGATCTA